GACCAGGGAGACGCGGAGCAGCTTTTCTCGCCCCGGAGGACGCGGGCGGCGGGACCACGGAGCATCTGGGCGTCCTGCCGCTCCTGTCCTCCGGGGCTAGAAAAACCCCGTTCGTAACTGCGGATCCGACGTAAATCGGATCCACGTAACTCGGGGACTGCCTGTACATTTCTTTTAAAATTGAAGGTTCATTCTTAAGGTTGCTAGCAGCAGAATGAGAAAGTAAAGGCAAAGAGAAAAGATGTTTAGCATTAGATTTGGAAGGAGGTGGAATTAGAATTTCTGAATCTTTTCACAATGAATTAATTGCATTAACAGAACATTGTACAAGTTAGTACCTAGCTTACCCTTATGCAAATGTAGTACAAAATGACTCTCACCCCCCAAAAAATCCCAACAAAACAAATGAATGAAAAGGATCAACTCTGAGGGAGTAATGGCACAGATTTTAAAGTATTGAGCCAAAAAAAAGACAGCATATTATCCCCCCAGGATTTGAAGAAATATATGAAAGTTTCATACTATCTACTTTAAGACCCCAGTTTACCATTTAGGTAGAGGTTTAACTAAAACAGTGTGAGTAATACCATTGAAGTTAATGGAAATTAGACCACTTTGTAACTTTAATTGGACTATGTATGTACTTGGGTGACTCATGGACTAAAAGTATAATTTAGGCCATGTCTACACTACAGAGTTAAATTCCCTTAAGTTATGTCACTGATCATGAACCACTGTTATTACATTGTCTGGGCATTTTCCCACAATGCTCTTTGTGTCAGCAAAGCATGTGCACAGTTGGTGTTCGTGCACTGATAGACTAGTGCACCATAAATCCTACAGTGCAGATTGCCACTTTCTCCCAGTAGAAGTTCTGGAAATGGATTGCAGTACATCACAGGGGCGGAATGATAATTACCACTCCCATGATGCAGTTTTCTCTGTCCTATAATATCAAGGACTTCTGACTGAATTTTGCACTGTGTTTCAACTGCCCTTGTAAATCTTGAGCCTGTCCTCTTTGCCTGAAAGCATGGATCCTACATTGCTCACCCATCTTGTGATAAGTGTTATAAACACAGCACCACTGACTCTTCAGATTTTCAGCTTTGTGAAATACTAACAGGAATCCATGCTGCCTGCCCTACTGTGTGCCATGGAGAGAAATAATTAAAAATTAATGTTGACATTCATAGAGTAGCTGCTCAAGGTGAACAGATACTATTGGGCTCAGAAATCAAGTATTGAGAGGGGGGATCAGATTCTGATGCAGGTTTTAGGTGGTGAACATTGGCTACAGAATTTTTTGTGTGTAAAAAAGCCACCTTCTTTGAATTGTTTATGGAGCTTGCTCCTGCCCTCTGGTGCCAAGACAGAAATGAAAGCTGGAAAAATGAGCGGTGAGCACTGTGTAGAAGCAGGCAACTGCACACTGCTACCAGTCAGTCACAAGTCAGTTTGGAGTTGGGAAGTCCCACGTGGGGGTTGCAGGGATGCTAATGTGAGGGCCGTTAATGGCCTCCTGAAACCTTGACAGCTGCAAGGAGCACTTCATTATCACACTCAGCAAGTGCAGATTGACCGTAGAATGTGTCTTTCTCAGATTAAAAGGTCACCTTTTTTGCAGGTTAAATCTCAGTACACTGCAGAACATTTCTAAAGACAAGAGGGAATAGTCTCCCCAAGTATGGAGCATTAGAATGAATTCCCTGGTGGTTGATTTTTGAGCAAGCCAGACACCAGGGTTATTAGAGGAGCTCTATGGGGGACTATTTGAATTGAGGAGACTTTGAAGCAGCATATTGACACAGAGACCCAGTAATGTGTCATTTTGTAATGATTTCAGCGAGGCAGTTTACTTGCCACCTTGAATGACCTTTGCAATGATTTCTGCCTAAGCATTAATTGTAGTCTTCAAATGTGGTGATTGCCACTGTTTGAATTTCTGTTGCAACCACCCGGTGTGGGGGACAAAAAAAATCACTGTTTTTGTAAGATTCAACTTTTATTAAAGGCAATACCTTGATTAACATTTCTTACAAGTGACATGAGCACGAATAGCACTGTCTGAAGTGAGGATCTCATAGCTACATGTAAGTTTAGCTGTTATGGCAAAAGTCCCCTGCAGTGAAGTGAAAGGGTTTTTCAAATGGTTAGGAATGTGACAGAAATGTGTGAGAGGAGTTTGGAGGAGGCACAGAATGCAGTTCTGTTTGGGCTTCAGGGGAGCTGAGCATTCGTGTTCCTCCTGCAGAGAAATCAGGGACCTGAGGCTCTCAGGTCCTCCATGAACTTTGTTATTCGCTCCTGACTCTTTCCTCTCGTAGTTTCTCATTTGTCTGTCTCGCTTTTCTGTTCTTGCTATTGGCCTGATCTGATGACTGCAGCAATTCTTGAAATGTGTCTTCCTTACTCTTCCTCATTCATCTCCTTATCTGGTAGAGGTGCTCTGGGGATGAGCCTTCAAGCAGCAGCACCTACATCTGCATAATCAAAAGAAACAATACACAGAGTCAATATTGTGTTTGCATTCAGTTTTAATTCATAAGTTACTGTTCTTGCTATTGGCCTGATCTGATGACTGCAGCAATTCTTGAAATGTGTCTTCCTTACTCTTCCTCATTCATCTCCTTATCTGGTAGAGGTGCTCTGGGGATGAGCCTTCAAGCAGCAGCACCTACATCTGCATAATCAAAAGAAACAATACACAGAGTCAATATTGTGTTTGCATTCAGTTTTAATTCATAAGTTACGAATGGTCAGAGCACTAAATATGGTGAGTTTAGCATGTGAGTGGGGAGTGAGGAGGACAGGCGGACTGTGCAGGACAGGATAAAGGGTCTGGTTGGCTTTGCACCAAGATCAGTACATGTGCCCTTGGACACTGTTTTGAATATTAGCACCATTTTCCACAGGTGAGGGGCCATCAAAGCTGAAATCATATTGCTGAGGATAATCAAAGATGCGAGGGTGCTTCTCCTACATGCATGTCGCTTCAGATCAGGACCAGTGTTCCCTCTAAGATTTTCCACCCATGAGCGGAGTGAGTTTTGTCTTGTGCACCAATATTGAATTAATGTGCGCTTGTTTGGATGTGTGCCACTGTGGCACCCAAGTTATTAATAAATATCTTATAAACCTCTCCCTTTTCCCATGTCTCCCACCTTCCCTTTGCCCCATATGCTTCCCTGGTGCTTGCTGTTGCCCCTCACCCTTCTCTACTGTCCTGGCTCCTGCCCTTCTCACTCCCCTCAGCCCTTTTGGGATCTGCTCTCCCCCTCCCCATCCTCCTCGACCCCTGCACCAGCCCTTTTCTTCCCACTAAGCCCACTCCTCCTCTAGCCCCACTCTGATCATCTGTAGCTACCCCTCCCCATCTCCTCTCTTAACCCCTCCCTCTACCCACCTGCTCTGCCTCTCTCCTCTGGTCCCTCCACATATCTGCCCTTCTGCTTCACCCCCACAAGCCTCCTGGCACCTGCATCTTTCTTTACCCCTGCACCTTCCTAGTGCCTCCCCCTTCCCTCACTGCCTTCTTTGTCCTCTTTCTCCCTAGTGCCCACTCCCTCACCACCCTCTGTCCCGGTTCTCCTCATGCCCCTCTGTGCCCTCACACATGACTTGCTCTATCCTCTGCCTGGCACCGTCTCCTTTTCCTCCCTCTTGCCCCCATTGTCTCTCCCTTTCCTCTCCCAGCATCACCCTGTCCCCTCCTCGCACCCCCACTGACACCTTCCCTTCTCTCCCTCCCTCCTGCCCTTTTCCTCATTGTCTTCTCTTGACACCCTGGCATTTGTCTCTCTTCCACCCTGCCCCTTGTTGCCTTCCCCTTTCTTCTCCTGCCCTGGCCTTTCCTTACCTCTCAGCACAAGTTCCTTCTTCTCCTTACCCACTTTCCGCTTAGTTCTCCTCCTGTCCCTTCCCTAACTTTCTACCTTTGACATGGAAGGCAGTTTGCAGGGGCTGGAGCCAGGGCTGCGGTGCTATTTTTAGTACTGCAGCCCCAGACCCAGCTGCTCCTGGGGTGGGACCACGTGCTAGGACTAGAGCAGAGGCTGCCTACAGTGCTATTTTTAGTACTGTGGTCCCGATCCCAGTCCCCACAGGACTTTGGTACTAAAAATAACACCGTGGGTGGCCCCGGCTCCAGCTGGAGTAAAGCAGTAGCCACACCGGAACAGCCTCACCTCACGCACTGCGGCTCCAGGCGGATCAAAAGGGTAGTTTCCTACTGCCAGGAACCCATCAGGCCCCTGGCTGCTGCTGCTGCCACCACTCACCTTCTGTTCTACTAGGAAGGTGAGTTGTGAGTGCTGCTGCCTGGTTCTTAAAATAACGTGGGTGAACTTAAAATTTTTAGTGTGCCCCTGTGCAGGCACACAGCTTAGAGGGAACACTGATCAGGACCATATATAACTTGCCTGTGTGATACAGTGATTCCTCAAGAAGTAATTGTGAAATGCTGCGCCAAAATTTCCCTCTGAAACAGAAACAGAGCAGCTCTGCCAAGGAACCTTTGGCAGAGGATTGCAGAGTATCTGCAGGAAAGTTTCCTAGAGGTCTCTCGAGAGGATTCTTGTGAGATCTCTGCATGCATTAACAAACTTTTCCACAGGATCCCCATTGTGTATCTGCTAAAGGGAATGCAAAGCAGACGCAAACCTCAATAACTAGTGTTGTTACCCTTCTCCCGTGGGCAGTATATCACAAAAGACACCTATACCTCATGTAATCATGTATTATAAAGAAAAATTAGTACATACCAGAGATCCCCTCATCTGTTTCTGGCCAGATGACTGGTGTGATTGGCCAGTCCCCTATGGAATCAGAAAGAGGTCCTGGCTTGCCACACCACCTCATGACCTTATTGCCTGTCCCAAATCCTCCTCCAGATTCTTCTGGGTGCTGCCTTTAATACCCCTAAAGTATCTGCAGAGTTCTTGGCAGTGAAGGTGGGGTCACCACTGAGGATACCATGCAGCTCCTTGTTGAAGTGGCATATTTTTAGTGCCACACCAGAGCAAGGGTTGGCTTCTCTTGCCTTCTGGTATACCTGTCAGGACGCTGCTTTATATCCTTTTCATGCCCCTTCTCCTCTAAGCCATGAGCAATCTTGCTTGTAGGAGTCAATGTTCCTTTAGCTAGATTAGAGCAGCAACTGCACAGACTTCTCCCTACAGACCCAGCAGATCCAGCAACTCTGGTTTACTATGCATGGGAGCCCATAAGCTATAGAAAGCTGGCATGATCAGCTGTGAAAAGGTGTATCACATAGGATGTGTCTACACAGCACCCTTAAATCAAAATAAGATATGCAATTTGTCTTACACACATTGTGTATCTTATTTTGATTCTATTTTGAAATTTGAAATGTGGCATGTCTACACAGTGCCAAATTTTGAAATAACGCTCTATTTCAAGACATCTCTTAACTCTCATGGAACGAGGGGTACAGGGATGCTGAAATAGCGTTGTCCATTATTTTTCAAAATATTTTAAAAATAATGGGCTTTCTGTGTAGATGCGGGGTCATTATTTTTGGATACTGGAGGTATCCCGAAATAGCGTTGCAGTGTAGATATACCCATAGAGCAAATAAGAAGTGGAATTTCAAAAATGCTTGTGTGTGTGTATCTGCAGGGCAGCAGAGTAGAAATTGCTTATGAGAATAGTCATGATGGGCATTGGACACCACCCGGAGGCCCCTTACGACAACATAAGCAAGTGCAATGTCTACACCAACACAGTGTGTATCTTCCACTGTTTTGTCAATGAAACTCTGTAATGTAGAGAAGGCCTATGTTTGTTTATAAACGTTTCAATGAGTGCAGGTAGAAACTTTTTTAATAGAAGTTGACTTTTGTAGCTTAACATATAGCTGTGGAACATTTTTTTGTGTGTTAACCGTCCTGGTGTTGCCATGACATACTATGTTACTACTAATCAGAACACACTGAGAAAAGCTTAAAATATATATATTTGGGGGAAAGTTTAGGTACACGTTTTCTGTATCCTTATAGATCTTTTTTTTGTTTAACATCTTTGTTCTGTATTTATGTGAAGTGTACAGAAAGTTAAGTGTGTGTTTACCTGTCTCTTTTCACAGATGCCTTCCGGGATGTCAGATTTGTCAACAACTTGTCAGGTAAGCAGCTCTTTATAACTTTGATTTATTACAATAAATCTCTGAATAAATATTTAACTTTTTAAAATAGGATTAGAAATAGAAGATTTTATAAAATATATAGCATTATATGGAAGCTGAATGCACTATGGGCTATTGTATAAAATTACATGCAAAAACCATGTTAAAACACAAGGTTGCAAAATCAAACACTCGGTGGTTACAGAATAATAGAATTAAGGCCACTATATGCATATACATTATGATACAGTCTTTAACATGATTATGTTATGAATTTCTCCCTATCTCATTCAATGTACAGAATGAACTGTGCTCACTTATGAGCAGCGTTTTGGTATTTTGTCCTATCTTTGCTCAAAATGTGACCTCAGCCCTCTTTACTCATGGTATTCAAATTCTTCTCTGAAGACAGAATGATTAATTTCCTCATGGGCCCTTTATCATGTTGGTTACTACTGTGTCCGTTTAACAAGTGTTAATTTATTTTCACAGCACTCCTGTGAGGTTAAGGGATGGTGATATTTACATTTTCAGTGGGGAACTGAGGCACAGAAAAATAAGATCAAAAGTTTTTGCTAATTCTGGATGACCAATTTGAGAGAACTAGGACCTGATTTTATTTTTCTCTCCGAAGTATTTACCATTATGTAGCAGTGTACATTGAAAGCACAAATCCCAATGATTTCAATTGCAGCTTTGAGCAGTCAGCACTTCCTCATTTGATATCCTCAGATCTGATCTGTAGAACATACCATTAGTAAAAACAACAAATGGTCTGGTAGCACTTGATAGACTAACAAAACATGTAGATGGTATCATGAGCTTTCGTGGGCACAGCCCACTTCTTCAGAAGACCAGAGTTTTGAGTTTAGAATGTGCAGACCCAAAATAAATAGGAGAGAAGGGGGGAAGGGGAGGAGGGGGGAAAAAAGGAGGGGGGTGGAAGATGGAGCTAGAGGGAATCAGTAAGTATCTGAAGATTGGGTAGTTAAAAGGAAGCAGATAAGAATCAAAGTCAATTGATAGTATTCTTCCTGACATAGGAGTCTACACAAGTTTTTTGTTCAAGTGACTTGATTAGCATCACATAGGAACACTGTTTCAGAAGTAGGGTATGGAATCCAGTTTGTCAGGGCAGCATTCAATAGTGTTATCTTTGAGGCCATCCTCTGTCTTCCTGCCGTCTCCTGCCTTGTTCAGCTTTTCCCACAAATAAGGTAAGGGTCCTAAAGAAAATAGTCTTTCATTACGCAGTCTGGTTGGTTACTAGAGCAGGTCTGTCCTGTAGACTGAATGAGGTAGAGATCATGTGGGAAAAAATAGTATGTGATTACAGAATTAAAGACTGTATCACAATGCATACACACACGGTAGTGCTGCCTATTACATCTAGGAAACAGGTAACTTAAACAAATAAACTACTTTGGACACTGCTAGCCTGCACTTAATGTGTTTTGACTTCCATTTCAGGCACTCTTTTTAGCTTTGAATAAGAGCCATCAGTATTTGACATAATTAAGAATCATCTGTGTATCTTTGCTCTGGGTGTTACGGGAACATTTGTTTGTGGGAAAACTAGAGAAAATATGTGAGAATTAGTGGCAAGTGCCAAAATCTCTTGCTGGGTTTGATTTACATCAGCTTGCTAGCATTTAGATTGGAATGACTCATCCAAAGGTTTTCCTATACTTTATACCAGGGGTCAGCAACCTTTCAGAAGTGGTGTACCAAGATTTAACGTACTCATTTCTGTTTACAGATCTGTGTGCCGGGAAGGGAAGGGGGGCAAAGTAACAAGGGAAGATATTTCAGCAAGAATTCCCCGATTATAGGTGGCAGCCTGCTTTTTTGATTGTATGATGGTGCCGTTCTTCCATTTTATTAGCACTTTTTTCTGAGTTAAACTCAGTTAAGTAACCTGGTCTTTCTGGTTGAGCTAATTATCTATCTAAGGATAAGTCTTTATGGCAGGGGTGGGAAACCTTTTTTGGGTCAGGAGCCACTGACCCACAGAAAAATCAATTGGGGACCACACAAGTGAGAAGCAAAAAAACTCCTCCAAAAAACCCAACCCTCACTGATGTTGCCCCCAACTGAGATGCCTCACACTTCTGGCACTCCAGCCCCACGGCATAAGGGGAAGGAACAGGGAGGACTGAGGTTCCGGGCTTCCCATAGGCCAGATTTACTTTTCTGGAGTTAGTGGATTTTGAGGACCTCCTTAGGCTCTGGGGTGGGGACAAAAATGAGGGGTTCAATATGCGGGACAGGACTGCCAATGAGTGGAATAGGGATACAGGATCTGGGCAGGAGGTGGGATGCAGGAGGGGGTGAGGAGAGCAGGGACTGGGAGGGAGTTTGGCGGCAGAAGAGGGTGTATTTATAGGGGTATGAGAGGGAGTTTGGAGTAGGAGGGGGTTGGGGGATTAACGCAGAAAAGGTGAGAGGGTGAGAATGCAGCCAAGTAGTAGTTGGGGAGGAAGGTAAAGAAGTGGGGAGTAAAGAAAAGGGCAGCTTCTGCAAAGTAAAATTGTATCCTCCCTCACATATTTCCTCGACTCTATCCTTGCTCCCCTCAGCCCCATGATCTCTCCTACCGCAGCCTGAATCCCTGTATTGCTTCATCCTTCCCCCCTCCCCGCTAGTTCAGCCTTTCCCCTTTGTCCTCCTTCACCTCCTCTGTGTCTGCACATTCCTGTGCTCCCAGCGTGTACCTCTGCAGGGCAGCAGCACTGGGACTCGCAGCCTCCTGGAAGCAGCACTGGGGTGAGAAGGGGACAGGTGTGGAGACAGGTTGCAGCTCTGCGGCTGGGACCAGTAGAGCTCAAGGCTGCCCATGGCTGGTTCCAGCCCGGCTGGGCACAGTGGGGCTCTAGGGAAGGGTCTCCCCGCCCCTGCACATACCCCGCAGGGAGCAACACAGTGCAAACCTGAACCCCCACATCCCACGGAGACGACAGCAACAGCTTTTGGCTTCCTGCCTGCCCTGTATCTGCAGAGCAGCTCTGGTCCTGCCCCCTCCTGAAACAGGGAGCAGAGCCTGTAAGTGGGGGAGTGGCAGCTGCATGCCCAGGCTGAGCAGGGCTAGTCCCAGGGATGTGGAGCCCAGTATGGGATCATACCGCCTGCTCTGTTTGCTGGGCTGCCCCAGCACCCACACCTCCCCCCTTCCCCAGCTTGCCCTTCCCGCAGGAGGCCGAAGCTGGTTCTCCTGTCTACAGTTGCATGGCGACCGCAAGGCTCCAGCTGCTGCCGGGAGGGTGGGGGTCTGAGCTCCTGCCATGCGTATCACTCAGGATTGGCTTATGTGCCACTTACAGCACATGTGCTGTAGGTTGCCGAACCCTGCTTTATACCCTATTGCGGCATAGCTGTGCTTCTGTAAAGTTTCCTCTGCAGCCACACTGTATGCTAGTGACAGAGAGCTCTCCTGCTGGCATAATGAAGCTAGCCCCACCCTACCGACATAGCTTTATCCACACTGGTAATTCTGTCAATGAATCTTTTCTCACAACCCTGACTGACAAAATTTTTACTGACAAAAGTGCTAGTGTAGAGACAACCCTATAAAGATGTGACTGAGGTTCAGAAAGTTAGTTTATAGGTATGGATGTTGCCCCTTTTTTCCCACCCTGTGACTCTGTTGTAAAAATATTTGTCCCCTCTCCATGCATTCAGATACAATGAGATTAATGACTACAAATGTAAATCTAATCCTATGCAGGTGCTGCTGCGGTCGCTTGGTCAGGCAACATGCTTGCTTTACTGCAAGCCTTGCCGTGAAATATTCAGATGTCAAACTAAGTGAAAACTTCAATCAAGAAATAGAAGAATGGTCAGTGGGAAAACACACAGAACAGAGTTCAACTGATGCTTATGGTGTTATTAACTTTCAAGGTGGCTCTCATTCATACAGAGCAAAGGTATGTACAAGATGACTTTTTTTCCTTTTTGTCTGCCAATGAGTCAAGGGAAATTTGAATACTCCATTTAGAATCATAGATCTGGAAGGGACATTGAGAGGTCATTTAGTCCAATCCCCTGCCCTCATGACAGGACTAAGTTATCTAGATCAAGAGGGGCAATAAGCGGGCCATGGGCAGGCCACCAGATGCTCTATTGACCAGCATCTCTGTGGTTCACTCCCTGCCAATGGGAGCTATGGGAAGTGGCGTGAGCTGGACCACTGTTTCCTGCCGCTTCCTTTGACTGGGAAAGGTAAACCGAGACCACTGGGAGCTGCGAGTGGCTGTACCTGTGGATGTGCTGAAAGCTTCTGGTGATCCAACAGAAGCCAACCCTGGTGAACTACGTCCAGCCTGCAAGCCACTTATTGCTCACCCCTGATCTAGACCATTTCCTGCCAGCTGTTTGTTTGTTTGAAATGAAAGAATTGGTAAGGTGATGAAATGCCCATATCTATGTTGTGAGATAGGGAGGATACTATCATCATTAGGAGTCCTATTATTCCAAATGTTGACTTCTCTTTAGTCCAGTTGTGCCCAAACTTTTCCTGTCTCTCCCCCCCCAGCAATGGAATCTGTCGGTGCCTCTACTTCATTACTACACAGTTGGCTCAGCAGGGGAGCTTGGGCTGACTGTAGAACTGGGGATGGGGAAGGAGCTAAAGCTAGAGGCAGTGCTGGTGTGGGGAAGGAGAGGAAATGAGGGGAGGAGAAGGAATGAGGGCGGAGCTGGTCTGGGGGGCAAAGAGGAGTTGTGGATGTGACTGGAAGCAGATGGGGGCTGGGTGGTGCTACCTCCCTGGACATTTCTTCCCATGCCCCCTCAGTGGTTCCCAACCTTTTTAAGCACAAGATCACTTTTTGAATTTAAGTGCAATCCATGATCTACCTCAAACCCAAATACCTTTGTCCCACCTCCTTCCCGCCCCTTCTCTGAGGCCCCTCCCCTGCTCACTCCATCCTCCCTCCCCAATGCTCAATCACTTTTATCAGACTGGGGGCAGGGTTTGGGGTGCAGGAGAGGTTCAGGACTGCGGCTGGGGTTCAGAATGCTGGCTCCAGATGGGCACTGCTTACCACAGGTGGCTTCTGGGGGGCAGTGCAGGGGGCTAAGGCAGGCTCACCCCTACCCTGGCCCTGCACCATTCCCAAATGCAGCCAGCAAACTCCCTCCATTCCTGCCCCCGTCTGCTCTGTGGAGATGGGTACAGGATGGAGGAAGAGACACCCGGACATCAGAAGCCCCTCTTTCTCTTCTTGGTGTGCAGGGCATGAGAAGCAGGAGGCTCCCAAGAATGAGGGGCATTTCCAAGGCAGGAGCAGCATAGCAGTGCTGAAAGGGGCAGATGTGCCCCCGTCTGTTGGTAGCCTCTCAGCCAAACCTCTCAGGATCACCTGTCAGAGGTTCCAAGATCTACCAGTAGATCCTGATCTACTAGTGGTGACCACTACCCTAGTTCATGCCACCCTCCCCAGTTGTGTAAATCATAATAAAAATCTCATTTACTTATAATGGTGTCACTCACTGTCACAGAAAAAAATCTGCACAGATGTTGGTAACCAGAAAGACCATGTTTGCTCTGACAAATACTATATAGCCTTTTTGTGAAAGGTATGCTTAACTTTTGCTAAATTTCTTCTATTCAATGTTATGCTTGTGCTGCATTGAAAGTTATGGAGACTAAAGTCCTCCTTGGAAATGGCTACAGCATGGATAACAGCACCACAAGTTTCCCTCTCACTGACTTGCCACATTCCTAAACCGTGGAGGAACCATATCTAGGAGTGATTAAAATAGTTCAGTCTCCATGTCCTTTCATTACTTGGCACATCTGCTGAAACTGTCCTCTAGTACCAGTTGAGGTTATGGTGGTGTGTTAGTGTGTATCCCTACATGTTGGGAACTGGTCTCTGTAAGGTTTCTCTTCTACCCATTTGCTCTCTCTGGCCTGTATGGCCTGTTTTAGGGATGCAGCATTATTCTTAATTTTTAACTCCAAAGAGGATGGGGGAGGGGAGAATGGTTGTATGGTTTATTTTCACAATTGGAATAGCTTTTTACATTGAATATACAGACAATCAGCCTCAGCAATTGAACTGGTTGTATTTTTGGCAATATATTTTCATTAATATCCTCAAATTTAGAAATGCTCATGAAATTGTTCTATAAAAGTTTTGTAGAACACATTTTTATTACGATGGACCTACATCTAAGCTACCTGCAGGCTTCCACAGTGCTTCAAAATCTTATTACTATAGCCTGCTGAATTTTTGGAAAATCTCCAAATATTTGTACTAGGGTTTTTTGTTCATTTTTTATAAAGTATGGCAGCTGCACATTTTTCTGTAGTTCAGAAGTCAATATTGCGTCTTCTCATGGATCTTCCTTACCAATTGTGTAATGGTTTATTGTAGGAGCCTACTAACGCTCAACTTTTTTTCCCTTAGTATGTGAGATTGTCTTATGACACTAAGCCTGAAGCCATTCTACAACTTCTTCTTAAAGAATGGCAAATGGAGCTGCCAAAGCTTGTTATCTCTGTACATGGGGGGATGCAGAAATTTGAACTCCATCCACGCATCAAACAGTTGCTTGGTAAAGGTCTTATTAAAGCTGCAGTAACAACAGGTGCCTGGATTATAACTGGAGGAGTAAACACAGGTAAATAAAGTATTAATTTTATATAATGCTTCTAATAAAAGTACAGACTTATATACACAGTTTAACCACTTCCTAGTACTTAAAGATAATGACTGTCTAATCAGAAGAACAAAAAAAATATTTCTCTATAAAATACTCTCTAACGATCGGCTGGCTTTACATTTAAAAAAATGAATGTTTTTATGAATTGTATCTTAAGCATTGAACTTAAATCTTGTGATATTATGTAATACAGAACATATAGATTGTTTTGCATTGACCAATAAGGATAAACTGCTATAGTAGTTGCTTTTGAAATTGTTAGGGAAAAGGTTTCACTTTACCTTGTATCTTTCTTCAAATTGAAAAGCTTATGCTGCTTCAAAATGTGCAGTACTATACTGCATCTTGTTTTCTGCCCTGGCAAGTGCAGTTGGCATATATGTTTTAGGGATGTAAAAGTATAGTTGATTAACTGATAAGCAGAAGCTTATAGGTTAATGCTACAGACTACAAGCATTGCCCCATCACAACCAGTAAATTTTTTATCAGGCTGGCCAGTAGCCTGGCTCATGCCGGATCCGGGACATATCTCTGCTGTGTCTCTGCATTTAAAGTGTATTAGGGGCCAGGCGGGTAGGCAGCCCAGCTCAGTTCTGGTTTGCGACGGGTCCTGGAGCTCAGACCCTCCTCTCCCGCCCACTAGACAGAGACTGCTGCCACCCCACACTGCTGCCTCTTTATCAGAGGCAGCAGCACAGGGCAACAAGCAGCTGGTCCGCAACAGGAGCTGATTTTTAAACTGGCTTCCCTTGTGGAATAGCTCCTGCCTGGCACTCTACGCTGCTGCTGGCCCCGCCTCTGGGGACTATAGAATAGTCAACTAACAGATAAGAATTCATGAGGTTACTCAACTATTCAATTAACTGATACTTAACATCCCTAATATGTTTGTAAAGTTACTGGAAATTATCAGTACTCTGTTTCTATTAATATATGTGTTGTGCACAATAGGTCTTTCTTTATGTGATCAATTAAGTGAGTTTCCTAATCTTCACAATAATTGGTAAGGTTAATGCTGATAGAATGTACTTTCAATATACAGAAATGTTTTCTCGTGAATGAACAGGTGTTGCAAAACATGTTGGTGATGCCCTGAAAGAACATGCTTCCAGATCATCTCGAAAGATTTGCACTATTGGGATAGCCCCATGGGGAGTGATTGAAAACAGAAATGACCTCATTGGAAGAGATGTAAGAATGGGCTTACCCAGTTACAAGTTATTTCAACTGTATGATCTTTCATAACCTTGTTTTAATAATCTGCTTATGTTTGCTGGCTCACTGCCTTTTATGACATGGAGGTACTTCTGCATTTGCTTTGGGACTTCTGTTGCGATTTACAGAGGACTACTGCTATAAGAAATTACAAAATGCTAATTCACTAGACGAAGCAGTTGTACACTTGTATGGCTCCGAAGAGCAGGTTACAGTAGCCACAGAATTTCCTGCAAACAATCTGATCTGTGAAAAGCATAAGAAATTACAGTTCCATGGAAAAGTTTCCCAAAGTTACAAAATCTCACAACAGAACAGTGGGGAGATCTTCAAAAGTAGCAAAGAGCTTGAGGAATACAAGTGTCAGAGAAAGTAAATGAAACGTGTTTCTAAACTCTGTAGAGGAACTTTCATGTTCCTAGGGATTTAGGATTTTTTTTTTTTTAAAGTTATAGAGCAAAGTGGATTTAAAGCAGTAGGAAGTGACCAGTGGTAATGGACAGCCCTTTCCACTTGGGTGAACGCTCTCCTAGCAGAGGTTGCTCTTCTGCCTCCTGTGCTAGTTGCCTATTCACTCTTCATGCTGAATTCAGGAATCAAGGTGGGAAATGGACATAGCAAAGCAGAGCTCCCTTGTGTCTGAACCTCACCTGGCTTAAATGTCCTTGCAGCTCTAACTTGGGCTGTGCAGTCAGAGTTCACGGAGGAAGCCTTTTCCTGATGAACATTCTCCATTTCCTCCACCACCTCAGTAGAGTTTAGCAGAATGGAGGATTTGTTACTGAGAATGAAAGCTCATTTACATCCTTTATAATTGCGTAGTCACTACTGCACAACTGTAACTTTAAGTGGAAAGTCAAATATTGTGTGAACTATTTGTCTTCCTACATTTTAAGAATCACAGCTAAGAAAAGGATATTTCAATATGGCTGCAGCTATAACACAGAGTTTAGTAGACACATTCATGGATTCAGGCATTCTGCTTTTTGCTGGGTTTTTTCTTATCTGTAGTCAGTTTTAATTTGCAAGAGGCCTCCTCTCTATAGCACTTGAGAGCAAAATTATTGTGTGGTATGGTAACCTGCATTCTTGCAAGAATGCGGCTTAATGAAGATCTGAATACTGGCAGGTGTAATTTTAGATCTGCCAATTTTCAGTGGTGTCCCTTTAACTTTTAATAAGACCAAATATCTAAAATTATGGTCATCAGTCTGGCATTTGGCAGATCATGCCTGTTGTATGTTTTTTTAGGTTGTTGCTCCATATCAAACTCTGTTAAACCCTCTAAGTAAACTAAATGTCCTAAATAATCTACATTCCCATTTCATACTGGTGGATGATGGAACAGTTGGAAAGTATGGAGCAGAAATTAACTTGCGAAGAGAACTGGAAAAAACTATCAATTTGCAGCGAATCCATGCAAGTAAGTAATCTTAATGTCATGGCAATGATTATTGTTCTGTTTTATTTTAAAATATTACACACAAACTGTGGTTTAAAAAAAAAAACTTACTAAGGTTACAGAGGGAAGCACTCAAGTTGGGAAATGGCATACACCAGCTTGCCTTCCTACTGTAAAGTCTCTTTTCTACATGTTTTTTCCTGTCCACTTCCTTTTTTAAATGAAACCAATGTACAGTAGCTCCTCATGAACACCTCAGTAATGGAGGCTGTTTGTAACTCTGAAATGTTCATAAGTCTGAACAAAATATTGTTGGTTTGTTCAAAAGTTTACAATTGAACATTGACTCTCTGGCCTTTGAAACTTCACTATGCAGAGGAGAAATGCTGTTCTCCCCCCCCCCCCCTTTTTTTTTAAAGATACGAGGTGGGGATTATAGGGACGGGGTAGAGTGGAAGCAGCAGGGGATGGTGGAGGGGAATCGAGCAATCTCTGGCTAGAGCAGAAGTCAGTGCCTATGACTGGTACCCTTTACTGGTCTGATTAACCATCTCCTCTGAAGTTGAGCACTTGTAATTTCATGGTAACGGATGACTAGGAAACTGGAATTAAGAGTTGCTGCCATTTGAGGGAAGGAAGCCCAGACATTTTGCATTGATCTTCACTCTCCTGTACTAGATTAAAATAAAGTATCTGTTTATTATATTTGAGGATTTATTTAGTGCCTCATAATTAAGGCTAAGATCTAGTCATGGGCATTTTTAGTAAGTCATGCTCAGGTCCTGGGCAGTAAAAATTCACAGCCTCTGATCTATCCATGACTACTTATAAATACTCCTGGGTAAATCTCAAACTTCTGGATAAGAGGGGGTGGTAGTGCAGAGGAGGCTTGGTATCAGTTGCATGAGTAGCCAGTGTGGTTGGTCCCAGCATCACTGCAGCATCAGGTCCTGAGGCTGCTTGGGCGGCCCTAAGGCAGCTGCATCTGCCAGTGCTGCTGCAGAAGTCAGAGGTCCTAGAAAGTCATGGCATCTGTGGCCTCCATGTTAGTATCTCGGCCTTAATCCTAGTCCTCACTCGTGTGAAGATTGAGTTGCACATGTCAGCTATGTCATTTTTCCCCCCTTTCTTGTGGAAACTGTTTTTGTTGCGATGCAAAATATCAGGAAACCAAAATATTTTTAAGGAAACTGAAGATCGGTTTTTGTCTAGTAGTTGAAGAAAGAGAGCCCATATGAGGGCTCACCTTATTACAAGACACTTCCGTATTCTATGTTTGTGGTTTTAAGTTTAAGTAGTAATGTTTTGATTCCTGCATTACATTGAGTTTTATATGGCTACTTAACTAGCAGTGTGTTTGTTCTCCCCCACTCTCCAGCATCCCAAATCTGAAGGTAATGCAGAAGTAAACGTGGCAATACTATGATGTCACTTACTTTAACTTGGTGACACTCCCTCCTCCCCCACACAACTCCCTTTCAGGTCAGGACTCTCAATTTGAGAAACTGTTCTTCCCCGTAAAATCTGTATAGTATCACAGAAGACCAGATTTCAGTCTGATGCATTTTTTTATGGCTATGAATTTGGTAGAGCCCAATCTGTGTGTCAGGCTTTAACATAATTATTGAATACCGCTCCACAATGCCTTGCTATGACTTTCACAGGTACTTTTGGCTAGATCAGTGGTGGGCAAAAGGGCCGCTGTGGGCCGAATCCAGGTCTGTGGGCAGGGGGAAGTACACAGTTTCCTCCACCCTGCCAGGAGCAAGTGGTGCTTTGAAGCACCGTGTGCTCCTGGCAGGGCGGGAGGAGGCTTCCTGATTGGCCTGGAGGCAAAAGGGGGAGTGCGCAAAGTCTCCTCCCACCACCAGGAGTATGGGTGCTTAGGGTAAACCTCTGGGGGGGGCAAAGGTGCACCCCCATACTAATCCTGGTCTATGGGTGGGGAAGCTTGGAAGTATACTGATCCTACCCCTTCCGCTTGAAGCCCTGCCCCTTTTGGTGTGGCCCAGGGCCACTTCAAAAATTTCTGAAGTGGCCTTGGCAAAAAATAATTACCCATCCGTGGGTTAGATACTCTGATATGAACTATTTCTACAATGTAGCCTACCTCTTTTAACAACTTAGAATACTGAAATGTTAAAGCAACCATTTGCTATCTGACTTTTTTAAAGATTGAAATGTAGCCAACAAATATGCTATAGAGGATAATTGCTTTCTTTCTTCCTCCTTGTCATCCTGTTTACTAATTTACAACTTTTGAGATACAGTAGTGTAGTGGTCTCCAACCTTTTTATGCCCAAGATCATCTTTTCAAGAAGCCCCACCTCACTCACTTTATCTCTCTTCTCTCTGTTGCTCTCTCTCCCCTACCTCTCACTTTTACTGGGTTGGGGTGCAGGCTCTCAGGGATGTGCAGTGTGGGAAGGGGCTCCAGGCTGAGCCTAGGGCCGGGGTTTGGGGTGCAGGAGGAGGCTCCTGGGGCTAGGGTGGGAGATTGAGATGCAGGTGGGAGTTCAGGGTGCAGGAGAGGGTATGGGGTGCTAACTGCAGGGTTCAGGGTACAGGAGAGGGCATGGGGTGCTAACTGCTACCCTCTAGGTAGCACTTACCTTGAGTAGAGATGTAAGCAACTAGTTGACTAGTGACTCAATTAGTAGCTTTCCCCCTCTTGCTGCCTCTAAAAGCTTGCCTCACTGTGTTTGTAAAGCTTGGATTGAAGAACTTGAAATATTTAAAGAGAATATTAATTTTGATTTCAATACTGATGTTTTTTACCTTTTTGTAGGAATTGGCCAGGGTGTCCCTGTGGTAGCACTGATATTTGAAGGTGGTCCTAATGTTATCCTCACAGTTTTGGAATACCTTCAAGAAAGTCCTCCTGTGCCAGTAGTAGTATGTGAGGGAACTGGCAGAGCTGCAGACATACTGGCATATGTTCATAAGCAAACAGAAGAGGGAGGGTAAGCCTACAAATGATTAAAACTTTTGACTAATAGTGCCAGACTTGTTTGAGAGCACTTTTCATTAACAAATTTGTGTAGGAGCCTCATGTTCATGTTCCAGAGGTTACAAGCAATGACTTCAATCATGCATTCTGTACAAGCTTCCCACACAGCTGTTCCAGTAAACCTCAGTCCTGAAATGCCACAGTGTTCTGTTTCTGTGTTCCTCCGTAGTACAGACTGCAAATCATACCAGATTTTGTAAATTGTATGGTGCTTTTGTAATGCTTCCATTAGGGTAAAATCTTCAAACTCATCTTTGCTTGTGACTAACGTCAGAACTGATCCAGAATTCTCAGAGATGCATGACTGTTACCAAGCTATGTGGAATACAACTTGAAAGTATTTTTGCTCTCAGATTGTTCCATTAACTAGCTTTATGTATAGTAAGAGAGCTTGACTGAAAAGAGAGGAAATTATTCTGTATAAATAGTGTTTGAATATTTGAATCGTTTTCAAATATTTGAAAACAGTAAGGTGGCAAAATTTGTAGATGATACCAAACACTCAAGATAGTTAAGACCAAAGCAGACTGTGAAGAGCTTCAAAAAGATCTCGCCAAACTAAGAGGTTAGGCAACAATCTTCAAATGAAATTTCATGTTGATAAATGTAACGTAATGCACATTAGAAAAAATAATCCCAACTATATGTACAATATAATGGGGACTAATTTAGCTACAACTACTCGACAGATATCTTGGAGTCATTGTGGATAGTTCTCTGAAAATATCCACTCCAGTGTTCAGCGGCAGTCAAAAAAGCAACTAGAATGTTACAAATAATTTAAAAAGGGATAGAGAATAAGTCAGAAAATATTTTAATGCCTCTATATAAAACCATGATATGCCCACATCTTGAATACTGCGTACAGATGTGGTCGCCTTATCTCAAAAAAGATATTGGCATTGGAAAAGGTTCAGAAAAGGGCAACAAACATGATGAGGGGTTTGGAACGGGTCCCATATAAAGAGAGATTAAAAAGACTTGGACTTTTCAGTTTAGAAAAGAGGAGACTAGGAGGGCATATGATAGAGGTCTATAAAATAATGACTTATGTGGAAAAAGTGAATAAGGAAAAGTTATTTACATATTTCTACAATATAAGAACTAGGGGCCACCAAATGAAATTAATAGGCAGCAGGTTTAAAACAAACAAATGGAAGTTTTTCTTCACTCAGCCCGCATAGTCAGTCTGTGGAACTCCTTGCCAGAAGATGTGGTGAAGGCTAGGACTTTAACAGAGTTCAAAAAAGAGCTAGATAGATTCATGGAGGTTAGGTCCATCAATGGCTATTAGCCATGATGGGTAGGAATGGTGTCCCTATTCTCTGTTTCTCCAGAAGTGGGTGACAGGGGAGAAATCACGTGTGGATTACCTGTTGTATCCCCTCCCTCTGTGGCATTTAGTATTGACCAGTGTCGACAGACAGGATACTGGGCTGGGTGGACCATTGGTCTGACCCAGTATGGCTGTTCTTATGTTCTAAAACAAATATCACTTTAAGACTATTCAAACTTCTGATTGTGTGGGATTTAGAAATGCATTTGTGTTCCACGAGCCTCACCGGCCTTCAGTTAATTTTTTCAGGTAGATACAAAGCGTTAAATATATCTGGTTCTGTTTGTCAGACTGCCATTCATGCTATGATTCCAAAACAATAAAGAGCTGAGGTGCTATTGCTTAAGAGCCTAATAGTTTTAACTTGTGAAGGAAACTAGAGGTAGCACATATTCAGAGAAAGTTCTGTTTTTTTGAATTCACTTTCCTGTTGGTCTGCCAAAGCCCAACTTTTATCATCCGGTCATGTTACGTACCCTAGCTGTTCTGTGGATTTTACTAGAGGCTGTTGGGTAGTGGGAATGATGATCTGGTGTTGGAGACTGCGGAAAAAAATCTGTTTGTGTGGCCTTAGGTGGAAGGGGGACTTACTTTATTTTTGGACAGTTGTTATAATTATATTGGTAAAGCTTGTTCATGTACCCAGAGCTTTCAGATAGGCATGTCTGTCTTAGACCATTTGAAAAATATGTATTAACATGCTTATGGTTCATACGTAACAATATAGGTCTTTGGTTGTTTTTGTAATCTTAGAAATATGCCTGATGGAGCAGAACCAGAAATCATTTCAACCATCAAAAAGACATTTAACTTTGGTCAGAGTGAGGCAGTTCACCTGTTTCAGACGTTATTGGAATGCATGAAAAAAAAAGAACTTGTAAGTGGATTTCAGCATGGGAAGCCTTTTATTTCAAGCATGCACACTTTTAGGAGCTAATTTTACATTAATGTCAGATTGATACAAACGATTAGGCTTTATCTTTATGGGATGGAACTGAACAATTAGGGAAGATGACTCCAAACAAAAGTCAAACTCAAATTGTCTTGTTCGTTTTTCTTACCTTTGGTTAAGTGATTCTGCTTATGTAATCAAATCTGATAATCAGTGATGTTTTTGTAATCTGACCTGTGGAAGAGCTTGGTATAAGCTTGATAGCTTTTCTTTCATCAGCACAAAATGGTGTAACAGAAGATACCACCTCACCCACCTTGTCGAAGCTACAACAGCACTGCAAATGTGTTGGATTATTGGCATTTGGCTTGTGAAACTTTGTAATATAAAATGAACCTAAGAAGGTGTAATTAAAGTACTATATTATTGCTACATAGAGGCTCAAAAAATTAAGTAGTTTTTTGTTATTTAGTGAACATTAAGGTAAAATGTTTTGTCTTAGTGGCCATGATTCAGGAAAGGTATGCCCTAATAAGCAAGGACACTCTTAATTTTAAGGACAATCATAAAGTCCTATTGAAGTCAACAGGAGTTGGACATTTTGCTTATGGGGTGGTGTTTTCAAAACTGGTTCAACGTTTTATTGATTAGGATGGATGTAAGTACATATTAAAGTATTTTTCTGAATCAGGACAAGCAGTAACATCCCATACTCTAATTTGGGGTGGAACCTTTTTTGGGTCATGGGCCGCTGACCCACAGAAAATCAGTCGGGGCCTGAACACAAGTGAGAAGGAAAAAAAAAACCCACCAAACACTCACTGACGTGGCCCCTGACTGAGAAGGAGAACGACACTCTCCTCGCATAGCAGAGCCTTGGAGGGCCCAGGCTAGTAGATTTTGTGTGCTTTAGCCATATGGGCAACTGTGGGGGTTGGGGGAGGGCTGGAGCACCAGCACAGGCTCCCCAAAGCTGGGAGGGAGCCCTGAGCCTTGGGGGCCGGATCCAGGCCGGTTGGGGGCCACATTTGGTCCCTTGGCCTGAGGTTGTCTAATCCCAATCTTATGTCAATATTTAAACATATGAGCTAACAAAGTTTTCAAATTGATTTTAGATTTGTATGTTCTTTTATGGTTAAAACCTTCTCTTGTTCTACATAGAGGAGACACAGTTTTTAAAAGTGAGATGGAATACTTATTTCAGTATTATGCTGTTTTTTAAAAAACAGATTACCGTATTCCATATTGGGTCAGATGAACACCAAGATATTGATGTTGCAATACTTACAGCACTGCTAAAAGGTGAGGTTTTAAATTTAAGAGTGTTGAATAATTCCAAAATTGTACTCGAGGGCTACGAGGGGAAAAAACGTAACAGTTAATATGGTACAGGCCATCCTCACTATAAGTCCAAGATACATTTAAAAAAACTTGTACTTATAGCAAAGCAACTTAAAGAGGGTATTTTTTTCCCCCACAACTGACTTCCATTTGTGCAATTTTTGTGTGTGTGTGTGTGTGTGTGTGTGTGTGTGCAGTTTGAGTGGGGAATGGGAGGGCTTATAACACATCCGTTCTTACAAGCGTTAATGACTTTAGTGCAGAACGGATGTATACTGGGGTGACTTACAGTGGGGACTAAGGATGTTAAGTAACAGTTATTTTACTAGTTGAGTAGTTGATGGAATTTCCATTGACTACTTGACTAATCAGTAGGCACTTCTGCATTCCTCCTTTGAAATGTACAAGAACCCCTGCTAGGGCTCTTGTACATTTCAAAGGAGGAATGCTGAACTCCATGTGCAGCCTGGGGCCAGCGGGAAGTCCTGCTGGCTCTGGGCTGCAGGCGGCATGCCAGCTTTGAAATGTATAAGAGTCCCCAGCGGGGGGCTCCTGTGCATTTCAAAGTGGCAGCGCAGCATGGAGCTTGGGGTCAGTGGGAGACTCTGAGTTCCACGCTAACTGCAGACTCAATGCTGCGCTGCCGATTAAAATGCCACACGGAGTCAGGGTCAGGTTGGGATTCCCCAGCTGATCCTGGCTCCGCACAGCATTTCAGCCGAACCCAGGATCAGCTGGGGATTTCCCCAGTTGACCATGGGTTCCGTGCTGCATTTCCTCAGAACTTGGGATTAGCTGGGGACTCCTCAGTTGATCCCGGGTTCTGTGGAAATGCTGCGCTGGAGTCCGGGGTCAGCTGGGAAGTCCTCAGCTGACCCCGGGCTCTACGCGTGGCTGCGTTGCACAGGTGATCCTGGGCTCAGCTGTGTGGCACTGCCGCTTTGAAGTATCCCTTCTCCTCCCTCCTTCCCCCTCTCCCTTTGTTGCTGCTATCAGATAAAGACAGCAAGGGGGGAGAGAATTGACTAGTCGGCTAACTATCCAATAAGCATTTGTTTATTGGATAGTCGACTAGTCCTTAACATCCCTAGTGGGGATGCCCTGTACAGTAATATTGTAATATTTTTCTGAAGTGATTAATGGTTATAAATAGCTACTACCTGTAACGTGTATATATGATGTTAAGTAATAAAAATATATTGTATATTTATATTTTTTGTTCTGGGGGGGGATGTAAATGTATTTATTTCAGACAGTTTTAGGCTGTCTTAATATGTGAAAACTTGTGAAATATTCATTTCATGAGCAACGTAAGCTATAAATGAATGTTCTTTCTTTCTGTGATTTAGGTACAAATGCTTCTGCATTTGACCAGCTTGTCCTTACACTGGCGTGGGACAGAGTTGATATTGCCAAAAATTATGTTTTTGTTTATGGACAACAGTGGCTGGTATGTAAATATTCTAGATTAAACATAGTGGTATTTTTACAGGATAGAAGCAAAATTATTGCAAATAACGAACCTTTTGATTCTGTAGAAATAGTACAATATTAAGGTTTTTAAGAGAGCAATTTCTGGACATTTAGCTACTGTGATACTTGCTTCTTTTTGTTTACTTATCTAAAATGGTTGAATTTATTTTAAATGTGCTAAATGTTCCAAGTAATCAGGGGAGAACATTCAGTACAAAGGATTAAAACTTCCCTTTATTATTTATTAGGAGCTGTAACATCTAAAGATACTTCAACTCATTGGCTTTTTATGTTTTCATAATACATGATCTTTTAAAATTCTTTAAAAAGAAGCCAGTGAAACAAATTCTTATTGTTGTCAGTTTGAAGAAACATACATTGGGTATTAAAGTGCAGCATCTTTCTTTTCTTCTGTTGTTTGTGCACTGAGGTTCAGCTTTTGGTGTTTCTTTTGCAGTCAAAGCACAGCGACATTGTTGGAATTAATGGCAGTTCTGACCTTGTTTTGTTTTCAAAGCAACTTGTTAAAAGTTGTTAAATACCGTCTCACAATTTCCTTGCTTACCTTATTGCTGTATATAAATGAGAATGTTTTAATTTAGTTCTGCGGGATAAGTAGAGGAAAGGTACATGTACCTCAGTAATAGCCCTTGAATATGTAATTGCTTTACCACCCTCTTCTCCCTCTCCCCTCCTCCTCCTTCAGGTTGGATCACTGGAACAGGCTATGTTAGATGCCTTGGTGATGGATCGAGTTGCATTTGTGAAACTTCTTATTGAAAATGGAGTAAGCATGCACAAGTTCCTTACAATTCCCAGGCTGGAAGAACTTTATAACACAGTAAGTTGATGACAATAGTGGAGAATTTTATATACCGTGTTCAGTTTATAAAGTCACAGCTGTAAACTTTTCATCATTGTACAAAATTGTAAAAAGCTATTGGAAAGTTCTACTTATTTTTAAAGATTACCTCAAACATCGTTTTCATTGGCACTTATTTCATATATTTAACTGCTTTATTAGGTGAATAAACAAAACAGTAGGTGCAACAAATAGCCATGTGTTTTTTGTGGTGATACATTATAAAAGACCTGTATTTTAGGCATGCACTGAAGGAGATGAGAACATTCTGACTGACAGCATTTGACTAAGACATATAAGAAGCCTTGAAACTCACTTGTTATCAAAGTTGCATGCTGGAGTCCCTGTGACCCAAGCCAAGGTGTTCAGTTCATGGAGGACAGCTACCTAATGAAAGAAACAGTGTTTTATGATTTTTAGCAGTAATGTGCTTTACATTAGGGATGTTATATATTAATTTATTGAATAATTTGTGTAACCTCATCAAAAATTTGTGGTTACATGAATATTTGATAATCCCAAGGGCAGGGCCAGCAGAAACTATGCTCCTAGTTCCACTCCCAGGGAGCCCCCTGCCACCCCGCTCTGTTGCCTATATATCAGAGGCAGACATGAGCCTGTTCCCTGTGTAGCTCCCCACACACCAGCTTCTGCCTGCTACCCTACGCTGTTGCCTCTGATACAGAGAGGCAACAGAGTGGGGCAATAGGAGTCCCTGTCTATGGAGGGCCGTCTGTCCCTGGCAGGGGTCTGGGCCTGCTGCAGACAGGAGCTGTGCTGACATCCCAAGGAACAGCCTCTGGCTGTGGTGAGCCTGTGCCTGCTACAGACAGAGGTTTCTCTGTGGTGGTAGTCCTGTGCATTGCTGCACGCCTCCTCCCCATGCTACTGCCTGTGATAGAGGGCCAGGTGTCTCCGCAAAGCTGGTGGTGTGTGTGTGTGGGGGGGGACGGGTTTCTGCCTCCCACCCCCCCTCTTTTCTGCCTCTGACACTGAGGCAGCAAGGGGGTGTGTGCGCGTTTAGTTGTTAGGATTAACCGGTAAGACTAGGATTATCAGTGAATTGTGTAGTCAACTACATGTTCACATTCCTAATTTACATCTTTAGAGTGTTTGTAAAAAACACTATGGTAACTATGACAGTTACTTTTGGATTTTTTTAAGGGAAATTTAGAGCATATCAATTTAGATTTTTCTTTTAGAAAGTACAAAAATAATTCTTTTTCTGTAAATTGAGAACTGGAGGTATGTGGTCTAGTGATTAAAGCAAAGGGAATAGGAACTAAAAGAGCAGATTCTACTAATTTTTTGGAAGGGGGAAACAAATCAGTTTGTACTCATTTTGTCATCTGTAAAATGTGAACAATATTTATCTTTATAAAGCACTTTAAAAGTAAAAGATGCTATATAAAAGCAATATATTATTGCCATATGTAAATAATTGGTTAATGGTTAAATATTTTTACAAGTATTTTAAATATTTAATATATAGCATTTCATACTTTTAACTGAATTGAACAGGAAAGACTTTCTACAATGCTATATGGCAGTTTAGGAAATGAAGACTATTGTATGAAACTAAAAGCTACTTTTTCCTTAGTAACTAACTACATGACAAATTCTTTACTCCATTATTTTAATTTTTAATTTCTATAAACATGAATGGAATTGATTTTTGTGATTTTAAAAAAATTATACCTAAAATTTTACAAGAATCAGTATATTGATTAGTAGGGTTCAATTCTGTGGTGTTAGACAAGCACTAGAGTACATTGATCTGATACCCCTTTTTTCTGGCTATCCTTCCTGATTTTGTAACCTTGAGATCAGACTTCTTTTTTAATTTTGGTATTTTAAAGGTAATGCTTAGCTCATAGTATTGTGATATGGAGGAATATTTGTATTTAATAATTGCTAACAGTTTAGAGAGAAGAAACTTCTTTCATGAAGATCAGTTTGCAAACAGCAGTTTTTTTGACATGAGGCCATGGAAGAAAAAACAGTCTTGCATAATTTAACTGTCCAAAATTCTGTGTTTTCTTTTTCCTTTGTAT